GTAATCAAAAGCGATACAGATTCTGAAAGGAGACACTTCAGGCTATCTTTCCATGTGCTTATCTCAAAACCGATATGTTGATCGAAAATCACCATTTCTGAGGATGGGCCCTTAATATAAAGGAAAGTTACACACTCTCAGAATACGTAGGAATAGATGATTTTGAGAAATATGCGAGATAAGGTCGATGGTACTAAGAAAGAGAGATGGAACATATGACATTCGGGTTCAACCAACGCTCATAGCTCTAATCACTGCACATTGTGTCGTCACTGCTTATTCTCGGCAACACATTCTTTGAGAGACTGACACATAATGAATCGATATTTTAATCGTATATGGGTAGGGAATTACAATATCAATCGAAAGTCAAAATAAATCATTATTATTGAGCTAAAGGGTGCATCAGCTGGAGATATTGATAAAACTAAATGTGTTCCTAATAGATATGATGACTTCATTTTCCTGTAGATCGATTCTTTTAAATAGAATGATTTCGATTTTTCGCTAAATAGCTGCATTCAGTATGATGACCCTACTAAAAGCGTATACTTGAAATGAAATACTTGTGTGAAATACTTCATCTTATATATTTCAGACGATTGTTCTATTAATCCAGAAAGTAGTCTTCAGTATATTGAAGATGATATTCGTTCATGTACAATGCAGCGCAGGAGAAAAGAAGATACACTCGGTTTAATTTTCAAGTATCATAAACACGAAAAATTTCATTACCTACTTTTGTCAAGTGGCTACCAGGAGACGCTAGCATATAGAGCTGGAATAAAACCGTATGATCGTGTTATTGAGTTTAATGAAGTTAACATTGAACGTGAAAGCTCTGGAGAATACGAGAAAAGATATGATCAAATTCTTCTGAAGCCAATAACATTATTGGTTTGTAATCCAAGCACATATGCGTATTACAGACAGCAGCGTCGATCTATCAATACCGATCTGCCAACTGTAAAATTTATGCAACTAGCGAATGCAGCAGGTATAAAGATGTCTTTTTAATGTTGCAAAGCAACACACAGATTATAGCTTTATGGAAGTATAATTAAACTATTGCAGATAGAATGGATAATGAGACGCCTTCGCGTTCGGCTTCATTGTATCCATCACCAAAACTTCAACAAGAAACTGTGGTGAGAGATCATTGTGTTATACGTTGGAATAATACTAATGAATTAGCAGTATTTCCCATCAGTGCAATTAACAGAAATTCATCAAGTGAAATCATTTTATATGAAACATATGAAATTAACTTGGGTTATGCAACCAGAAAAGGAAAAATTATATCATTAGGTAAAATAACTTGCACAACTAATGATTGTTCATATTAAAGAATTTAGTTCTCTTTCTGTTAATTCAGGTACAGATAAAGAATGTGAACTCTTTCGATCTAATATGGAACCTTATGCAGTTCATTCTGAGCACGGTAAATTCAGTCTTCTTTTGGTGCCATGCGTATCATTGTTTTATCTACAGTAGACAGAGATCGTCGTGATTCATCTGGTGACTCAAGATCAACGATGGTATCTGCGGTGATAAATAATACCAGATCATCTAGATCAGATGAAAATCAAGATGATTCACCAAAGAAAGAAAGTATGTTGTGCGTTATGACGTACTCTTTGCTCGAGTAATTGTTGTTGCGCGAATGCTGTTTGTTGCACAGCAAAGAGTGGTACGTTCTTTTCCAGAAAAAATGTGGGGTATGTGGTGATCGAAGACCATGACAGACCGTTCTAGAGGGGCAGGAATGGTCTAACTACATTAAAACACATTGTGCCAACTGCATTTGCAAGTTTGGAGTCATAACGCGAAAATTTAGGTCTAGTGTTATAATCAAGAGAAAAATTTTAAAGCCCTTCATCGGAAGTAAGCAAGCGATGGATGCTTCTCTAGTCAACAGACAGTAGATCCCAGTTACAAATGTTTTTCCAAAACGAGCAGCCAGTAAATATCTAATGTTAGTTGATCATTTTCAGTCCGGTCTCACGACCGATATCCCGTTCGGGATATAGAGTATATCCCGAACGGGATATCGCACAAAATTTATATCCTCATCGGGATATTTTTGCAAAACATTTTGGAAAAAATCATTACCGCAAAAATCATGATGTTATTGCACAAAAGTGAATATAGCATAAGAAAGCGGATGAAAAACTGAATCGGAATCAAAGGTG